TAGTTTTAGCCATATATGCGTTGTCTGTTGCACTAATAATGTGTCAAAACTTATATAGTTTGAGATTTGGAGTTATCCCTTTTACTGAGATATTCCTTGCTGAAATGGAAACACACACACACACACACACACACACACACACACAAAGGTGAAGGTGCAGAATTTCCTACTCTGTACCTGGTGGGTGAATTTCTAAATCATAAAGCCAGGTTTGTGGCCCTCTTCTGGATAAATACGCAAGTAGGCTGTCAACATGGCAAGTGTTCTTTCCTTAGCTGTTCTAGTACCAGAGCTTCTAAGAAAAGACAATCCTGTTTACATTTCAAGAAATAGACCCAGCAAGGAACCAAATACTGGAATATGACAAACTTTGCAGAGACATTTTTTAAATTCTGTTTTTTTTGGGGGGTGGGGTGGGGAGTGTACTGGGGATTGAACTCAGGGACATTCAACTACTAAGCCACACTCCCAGCCCTATTTTGTATTTTATTTAGAGATAGGGTCTCACTGATTTGCTTAGTGCCTCACTGTTGCTGAGGCTGGTTTTGAACTCTCGATCCTTCTGTCTCAGCTTCCAGAGCTACTGGGATTATAGGCATGTGCCACCATGCCCATCTTAAAATCCCTTTTAAGGCTTATCTTTTTTAAAATTAACTTTTTGTTTTTAACTGACACATAATAATCTTACATATTTATGGAGTACAGTGTGATATTTCAATTCATGTAGTACATGTGATGATCAGATTAGGGTAACTGTCATGTCCATCATATCAAACATGTTTCACTTATTTGTGTTGGAAACATTCAAAGTCCTCTCTACTAGCTCTTTGGAGATACACAACAAATTGTTGTCACCCATAGTTATCCTATTGTGCCATAGAACATTAGGAGTTACTCCCTCTATCCAACTGTACCCCCATCCTGTTAACCATTCTTTTTACCACCCAACCTTCCCATGTTCTCTTGCTACTTCTGTGAGTTGAACTTTTCAGCTTCTCTATATAAAAGAGAACATGCAGAGTTTGATTTTCCATTCCTGACTTATTTCACTTTGCATAATGTTCTCCAGCTCCATCCATGTTGCAGCAAATGCCAGGATTTTACCCTCTTTTATTTGGTACCAATCATTCTTGTCCAATTCGTAAGGGACTCCCGCAGGACCACCAGGTATAGGAAGAGAAGGGGGTAAGGTTTTCTGCTGGCTCTTACACCAGGTGCTCAGGTCTCCTGGGAACCCAGTGTGCTATTTGCGAACTCTCTGGGAGAGCGGGGGAATGTGCAGGTGTTTAGGCAGCATCAATACAGGTGTATGAAACCTTTCGAGTCAGGTGAAGTTCAAATTCAAAAGTTATTAACTTTGAGGTTAATTGAGATTCGGAGTTATCCCCTTCTCTTATTCAGATATTCCTCCCTGAAATGGAAGCACTAAAAAAAAAGGAGGTGAGCATAAAACCTTAATCAATCATCTCAGCTTGGAATTCCTATTGAAACCAGTTCCTGTAAGACCTGGGAGCATCTTTTATCTCTACTGAATGAACGCTCCTTACTACAAAAGCATAAGCTATTATTATTCAGCATATAGAAATTTCTGATGCCAGAAGTCACTGGTGTGTGCTCTTGGATCTCAATAAGATAACTTTTGCAAGCATTTTGGTTTATAAACATGGATTTTAACCACTAACTTCAGGTCTAGTTCCAGTAGGAGCAGTTATTTCATATAGGTATTCATGGGACTGAGAAATTCCACCACTTTATTTAAACCATGGATAGATTGAGCTGTCCCCCTCTTTGAACATTTGTACATTTCCTGGCTTGCTTGGAACTGGTACCAGGTGAGATCAAAGACAACTACAGATCCTGTACTGAATTCTAATATATGTTAAAAGCTAAGCTCTCTTTTCTGGTTCCTGTCATAACTCGAAAGGAGAGCTCATTCACAAGAAGAAGATGAATTAAAAATTAGGAAGAGCCAAATGTGAATATAGATATGGACTTTTTTTTTTTTTTTAAATATGCCGCAGCAAAGAAAATCACATTTGGTGACAATCCTAGGACCACCTTCTGGGCTTTCTGCTCTGGAGGTGGAAGCAGCTGTCTTTGCAACCCATGACCACCCTCACTCCATGGCTTTTGCTTCCTGTTACTGAAGAGGCCCAAGATGATGGGCAATGTCCTCCAAATCCCTGAACCTCCATCCAACTCCTTTGTTTGTGTATGTAGGTGTGTGCTGGTATCTGGGAATAATTTTGCTTTGGAGCAAATGAGACACTCCCCTCAGCTGCGTACAGCTTGGCCCCTCACCTGCTGTCCTGCATTTAATTTCATGGACCGTCTCCTGACTCCTCTCAGAGTTCAGGAGTCTCATGGAGGCTGCTGGGGTGATTTTCACTCTGCCTTGAATCATGGCCTGTAAGTGCTCAGTCTCTACCAAAGATGCATAGAGGAACAAAAACCTGTATGCTAAATTTCTATTGATGACAAGTGGCCTCATATTTCAGTTCTGTTTTGAGGTGTCTTCTCAGAATTATTCTTGTGAGATACTAGAGAATTGGGAGGCTTATCATGCAGCTCTATTGTATGGAGGATATAAATGGTTCCAAGAATGGTTCTATTTCAGAAAAACCATGAGATATTAGGTTAACCAATTCATGATAAAATTATGTCTCTCTCTCTGTCTCACACACACACACACCTTTTATTTCTATTCTATATTTGCCTTACATCTTCTAGTCAGAAAACTGCATATCTAAGCTTTACTTCTGACTTTATCACTAGTTCCCACCATTACTGATGTTCCCATTTGATGTCCTTTTAATAGTCAAATATTTCTTGGCCTATGGACAGTGACTTTTGAAGCTAACCCATTAGAGGGGTGACTTTAGAATTTATAGAATCTGAAAACTTTAGAACTTTCTTTGAAAGATAAGAAATACGAAGGACAGGAAATATGAGTAACTTCTCCAGAATCATGCTGTTTTCAAATATAGGTATCTGGATTGTCAAAATTGTCTTTTACACACATACATTAGAACCTTTTGGACCCCGGAGGGCAAAGAGCACAGAATTTAGATTGAAAAGGAATTGTGTCTGACAGTAAGCGATAACTTAGTGGTGAGATGGCTACAAGTTGTGAGACCTTCTGTGAGGAAGTTTATTTTTCAATTTAAAAAATATTATTCACCCTATTTACTTTATAGAAGTACAAGGATTCTACAGAATATGAGTGAAAATGTTTGTTAAGGACAAAGTCCTGCACAAATATTAATTTTGACTTCAATAAGCATGCAATAGTTTTATATATAAATATATAATGCATAGATATATATGTATACATCTTAATAAGTTAATTAATGTGCTAATAAAATAATTCTCAACAAAAGCCGATCTTTTCCATATCTCATAAATGCCCAATTTATGATCATCTGTGGTTGGCTTTCTGCAGACTAACAAGACAGCTTCATATCTTGGAGATCAGGTTAAGAATAGGGAAGAATACAGATGGGATTTTGCTGCTCTGGAATCCAAGTCAACCTTTTGGAATTTTAATGTCCCTTTCTCATAGTGAATGAAGAGCTGATTCAGTGGAGATATCCAACCATTTTCTGCTTCATGGATATTAAAATAGTCTTTGAAGCTCTGTGGATATTTACTGATTTACTGGGATTAACTACTCCACATAATTTAGAGAAGTAAATGTAGTTCTAATTTATTGTAATATAGATATTTATAGAGTGTAGGAATGGCAGATTTGTTTCAAATTCAGGGTACTCATCAGTTGCCTGGTGGTGATGGCTTAAGAACTGTGTAGAAGGAGATGCTGAGGCTACATGTAGGTCTGGTGGACAAATGCCACCATCAATCTGGCAGTGTCCATCATAGGCTTAGGTAGAGAAAACACATGTAACAATGGAAATAACACTGAGGCTTTGGTTGTAATCCTGGTGTCGCCATCATTTACCCAGGAGAACTGAAGCAAGACCCTCAATCACTCTGGGTCTCAATTTTTCTCATTTTGGAAAAAAAAATTATGTGGCTATCCTTCCCTCCATGAACTTTATGTCTTCTTACAAAGGCAGTTCACACATTGTTATTCTTGTCAACTCAAGTACACTTCAGTAGGCAGATGACTGTCCTTAGTGATTATAAAGGCACAATTCCACCTTACCTACCACCTAGGATCTTATGAGATTAGATTCCAGAAAATGCACATGAAAATATTTCATGAACAGCAAATGCTACAAAAATATGCCACAAATCATGACTTCAACTTCTCCAGTTTTCTAAGTAGTAAGCTCTCTAGAAAGTCAAGAATATGAAAGAAATTCTTTTCCTTTTAAAGAACATTCTCAGAACATTCTTTTGGCTACAGCAAAGGAAAATAAAATTAATAATGATATTTTTAAATGATGGAAACTGAATGTGTTTGACTTGGAACCTTTTATCATCCTTCTATGATTCTCAGAATGAGATAGAATTGCTGAAGTTTTTTCCCATTAAGAAAAAGGAACTATCATGATTGTTTGTTTCTTTTTGTTTGCTGTAAAACTTTAGAAAGTCTTTTGTTTCTTTTCTTTCTGCCCCCCTGAAGTCAGGCTTAACATTGGCACAGAAGATTTTTGGAATGATTTTAGCTAAATCATTTTCTTTCAGTTAGAAGAAGAATAAAAAAAAAAAAACCGAAGTTACACAAATTGAAATGCATAATCAAGTGATAAGAACCCCGTCAAGGTGGGGGGAGGCAGGGTTTTTTAAAGTTGTCCAGAGGGGGATGTGGGGGGGGGGTCCCCAAATACCACAGTCTTCCATCCATTGTATTCCTACTTTGGAGTTGATGGTTTTCTTTGCTTGCCCGCTGTCATTTCATTTAAAGGACTGGGAGGTTGTGGATGAATGGCAGGCATCTTAGTAAGCCAAGGGGAGGGTGTTCATGGATTTAGTTCAGGCTTCCAATGGCTTTTGAGAAAGAGCCCCATTTATGATCACTGGGCCTCTTTTTTCAGATCAGACTCCGACCCCAACGAGATTCCTGAAGAACTGCGAGGAGGTGGGCCTCTTCAGCGAGCTGGACTGCTCCTTTGAGCACGAGTTCAGGAAGGCTCAGGAGGAGGAGAGCAGCAAGCGGGTAGGTTTGCTTAGGAGGATACCTGGAGAGGTGCTTCCCTAACACTGGCTAGAGACTTCTACACGGAAAGCAAGTGACACCACAGAGTCCATTGAAGTTGCTTGAAATATTACTTCATGTCTTTGCAAGTGTTTGTCCCTGATTGTGGTAGAATCCAAAGCTCGGATAAATCATGAGAAAATAAATGTATCAAATATTAAATTAAAGCAAAAAAAAAGTTACCTGATTCTTGAAGCTGTGTGGATAAACTCACTATTTTGATTTTCAACCAGTGGTTTTATTTTGCTAAATATTTAGCATCAGCCTTACGTGGGTGGTGAGCACAGAAGACAAGAGTCAAAGGGTAAGAGAACAGCTGAATCACAGCCGCAGGAGAGGGGAGTTTATCTGGTTTGGGCCCAGCTTATAACTGTATGTGTTTCATAATCTTCCACGGATTCATAATTACTTCCTGTTTATGTTACCTGGTCAGATTATTGAACACCTCTTGTTGGTGAAATAAATACGTTAGTTACAAGTATGGATCGTTTGTTCTTAAAAATGTAAGAAATTGGGCTAGGGTTGTGGCTCAACCGTAGAGCACTTGCCTAACTTGTGAGGCCCTGGGCTCGATCCTCAGCACCACATAAAAATAAATAAATAAATAAGGTATTATGATCATCTACAGCTAAAAAACATTTTTTTTTTAAAAAAAAGCATATCTTTTAAAAATGTAAGAAAATCAGGCTGGGGCTATGGTTCAGCGGTAGAGCACTCACTTAGCACATGCAAGGCCCTGGGTTCGATCCTCAGCACCACATAAAAATAAATAAATAAAGGTATTGTGTCCAACTACAACTCAAAATAAATAAATACAAATGTAAGAAATTCACTTTATGAAATCCTTTAGAATATATTCTATTTTTATCATAACATTGTGTGGGGATTATAAAATCACTTTACACGATGAAATAAAGAAGATGGGGTCACAGATAAAGGTGACAAGGATGCTTTTTAGTATTTTTTTTGTCACTGTCATAGAGCATTACTAATGTCCACAGCGTACTGAAAAACAAATTAGACACAGTCCATGAACAGAAAGTTAAAACGTGAAAGATGATTGAAAGGAAGGGCCAGCTAGGTACTCATGAATTCCAAAGTTTCAGCTGTTCCAACTGGAGAGGAAATTTTAAAAGACTGACATTTCTCTGAGTGTTTCAAAGTCTTTGAATCTTCCTCTCTGTGAAATTATAATAATCCCCCTCCACCAGATTTTTCATGTCACATTCTTACATCATGATAGGCCAGGGCTTGTATTCAGTTTGTACAGCTTTAGGGGGAAAAAAATCAGAAAAAGAATTGATATAAATATAAGAGGGGTACAAAATCTCAATTCATTTTATTTATTTATAATTACTTTGCTATTTATGTTTGACACTCTCGTCCACTACCCAGCTAAATGACATAGAGTGCCTTTTTCTTGTTTGAAAGCAAATACTTATATAATAAGTACCATTTACTAGGCAAATAATAAAGTTATGAGCACTTTAAAAATTAACTTGATAAAAATACAAGGTATAATTCTATATCTCATTGCAATGGAAATATATTTTGAAAAGCCATGAAAATAGCAAAGGACAAGTAGAAAGTCTCATCTAGTAAATTTCCTCTGGTTGAATAATCAATTTAGTTCATTTGGTAGGTTCGCTGATGTAGAAGACTGTTAGAGGAATTAAGTTTGGTCATTTCTTGAGATAATCAAAGTTGGCTTCTTAGAGCCATTGAAAGATGTCTGCTTGGCCCATGTTGTCTTCATGTCTGGTAGAATGGTTTTAATGCTCTTGCTTTTCCTAAAGACATTTCACCAAGAATGGTTTTGTGAAGCTCACGGTAGGGGTGTGGTTTTCAATATTCTCCATTGCATTATACATGATTTCCTATACGAAGCCAGTGTGAGGAATTCTTGCAGAACTGAATTCCAGGAAATGATTTGCTTCCCCCAAAGAACTGAAATATTTTCTCCTCCTGGACATGAGAATCGTGTAACTGGTTGTTTCTCTTTTCGCTTTGACTGCTAGGTGAACAAAAAGCCAAATTTATTGCTTAACTTGGAGAACTTTTTAGAACACTATGATGAGCCATATTTTACTTCCTCTGTGTACTAGACTTTCAGTTCTAGTTCATATTTTCTCTGGTCCTGATTTTTAATTAAAAAAATTTTTATGCTAACCATGTTTGGTGAGTTGCTGTAAATGCCTTGTGGGTTGGGAAGAAGTACAAATCATTAAAAAATTAAAATAATTAGGTAAACAACATTGAGAAAGGACTATTGCAACTGTAGAACTATGTGTTTTCTTTCTTTTAAATGCTTCTCATAGTCTGTGGGGATGATTCATGATGGGTCTGTGGGTGGCAGTCCTGCAGCCAGCATGCCCTATGGTTTGCCTCTTAGGACGCCACAGTTTCATGCCCCAGCCTCACTTGCATGCACTAGAAGCTGGTCTGCATTTGGGCTGTTGAGGCTTCCTCTTTCTTTGTCTCATTTACTCAGGTGGCCATCACTACACTAGAGGGTATCCTCTGGAGGCCTAAAGCACAGAACTCATCCAACAGCCAAATGAACCGTTGGTGGATTCTACCTAGTGTTTCTTTGGAAGCTGGAGGGTGTGCGGAAATAAAGAGTAGGAGGGATGCTCCCCAATCTGACAATACCCTTTTACCTATTCCCTGGACCATTTCTCCAGATGTGGACATCTCTGGCACACTGCCACCTCCACATACTACTTCATTTATTCTTTTGCCTCTTGAAAAAGTAGAGACACGAAGTCCTTATTCAACACATAGCTTATTAGCTACCCTGGAGTGTTATCTGCTCTTTTCCTTCTTCTCTGCTCTCAGATGGTTATTTCCTTTTAATCTGACATCTCCAGTTCTTCTGGTTTTTCTTTTTTGCCTCTGAGCCCTTTAACAAAAGACTTGCATTGGTTCATGAGCACTTTTTTTGTAAAGTGGAAGATGGATTAATTTATCTGGAGAGTTTGTTTAAAAGCGTTCTTGTTTGAAATCTCTAAGTTCTTTATACACAAATATGGGGAGGATTAGAAGAAAATCCTGTTAAAGAGCAAATAGAGAATTTATCCTTGTTTAAGCCATCTAACTGCCGATTGGAGAAAATCCTGTTCTACACATTCTATAGATTATCCTGAAACCCTTTGCCCCAAACATCCCAATATGTTAAGGACAGGTCAGCAGGTCAAAAAGCCCCAATATCTGTATCAGCAGGTCAAAAAGCCCCAATATCTGTATCAATGTTACACAGAGCAGATAACATATTCCATAATTGTCTCAAAGTTTTATGTGAATGTAAACTCATAGCCTCATAACTCTTTAATAAGATCCCCCCCCCAAAAAAAAAGCATGTTGTAACTCACTAGCAGACATCACAAATCTCAGCTTGCCTGTGGCTAAGAACTCAGGATAGTCCATGTCCTGAAACACACAGGATACCTTTGTTCACTAATTTTTCTTTCAAGAAATATTTTCAGATGTCCACCATATGCCAGGCACTGTCCAAGGCATTTGATAAACATACCATTGAATAAAGATGATAAACAATACAAAGAGTAAAGAAGTGAAGAATCTGTCTAACATTTCAGATGGTGATAAGTGCTATATGCAGCAGCGTGGGGCCCTGGGAGGCTGAGAGCCTGAGAGGGCATTTCTCACTGATGGACATGTAAGCAGAGATGTAGAGGAGAAGGCTGAGCCAGGTGCCTACTGGGGAGAAGAGTGTTAGGAGTTGAGAGAACATAAGTGCAAAATCCTGAGGCTGGATGACGTGCTGCATGTTGTAGGCATTGCAAAGGGGCTTCTTTGAGGGGGGAGATGCCGATAAGGCCAAGACCTGATCCAGGAGGGCCTTGCAGGTCGTTTAAAGGGCTTTGGCTTTTACTCCAAGTGAGATGGGGAGCCACAGCACAATTCTAAGCAGAGGAGTGATGGGATCTGCCTTATTGTTTTAGAAAGATCACGTTGGCTGTTGAATTGAAAGTAAGTTGTTGGAGGGCAGTGGCAGAGACAACAGTTAAGAAGATATTAAAAGAATCTAGATTGAAGATGAGAGCAGATTATCCCACAGTAGAGATGGAGGAGTTGTTAGATTCTGGATTCAGTATGAAGATAAAGGCAGCAGAATTTGCTGGGGATGGATTAGACTGGGGAGTAATAGGAAGAGTAGAATCAAGAATGAAACCAGAATTTTGGCTTGTACAACTAGAAGGATGGAGTGGTCTATGGGAGGAGCAGGTTGGGCATGGGGCGGAATTGGGAGGTTTGTTTTTAAACTAAAGTGGAGATAGTGGATCAGCAGATGGATGTACAAGTCTGGAATTCAGGGGGAAGAGAGACTGGCTGGTGTAGTAATTCCACAAGAATGGGAAAGACTTTTCTGGGCCAGAAGTAAAGGGAGTAGAGAGTTCTAAGTATAGAGATGGACAGAATCTTCCAGAATCCTCCAAGACAGAGACTTCAGTGCTCTTCAGTGTCCAGAGATGATGCAGAAGACTGTAAAGCTTGAAGAATCAAGTCAAGAAGAGAACCCTAGCTCTTATGGAAACGCTGAGTAGACAATCTGTGCTGATTCTGTGTTCCATATTAGAGGAGAGAAAAACAGGATTTTAATAAGAGAAAACAAAAAGAAGGGTGAATCAATCTTTTATATTTAATTACCTTTTTTTTAAAAAAAAAAAAGAGATTGAATAATATACATCTAGGAAGCAGGAGATAACTTCAACATATAAGAGATGTTGTGTATTTGTGAGGAAGGAAGGGCAATTGAAGGGACAACAAATGAACTCCTTTGTCTTGCTGAGAGAAATATAACATTACAGCCTAACATGGTTAAAGACCTGAGATGAAAAGCATGCTGTATAAGTGCTAAGTGTTGCTATTCTCCCATAGGACCTGAATATGACTCATTATGATGCAGAAATAGCAAATTAGGACATTTCCATGCTCTAGAA